TACCATAACAGTAGTTGCAGTGCCCTTCAGAGCTTCAAATCGCAAAGATCTGAGGGGCACTGCCACTACGCCCGTCACCCTGAGACATAAGTTGAAAAACAGTAATGCTGCTTGGCGGCAGAAATAGGTAAGGTGGCAGTACTTCTCTGTCAAACTCTTTCACAAGAAGCTTTATTGCTACTATCGGTTTACAAATTAGAGAGCTATCGTGTAACATACTTAGAATAATAACGCATAGCATGATAGTTTCGTATCAAACGAACTGTCACAAGTGAGGCAAAAATCAAATTCATGTAGGCTAGTTTTTTAGTAGGTTAATTTTCGGTTTTAGTGAATATTTATATAAAAATACAAGTTGAAACGCGTTACTTCCTTGTGGAATGTGATGTTAGTATCTATTTTATGTTTGTCTCACGTATTTTTACACTCATTTACCGCACATTTCGTCATTTTAGCTAAAATTCTGGATCTGTTCGCGGTGCAGGTTGACCTTGAGCACTGAAGGCCCGCCCGCCCGTGTAGGCCCTTTTGGGAGCGCTTCAATTTGCCTCACTTAGCGTGTGCGGACTAGGTTTCTATGCGTTATTATTCTAAGGTGACAAATATAAAAAAACACATACAGTTGAATTGAGAACCTACTTTTTTGCAGAAGGTTAAAAATGAAAATATGTTTAATGTTTTTTTTTTTTCATTTATAAAGTGGGTGCCATAGATTTAGTATAAATCTATGGTGGGTACGTTCACAGAACAATTAGTAAGAAAGAGCAAAGGGGGTTTAATGCAGTTTCACATGGAGAGGACCGCAGGGTTTAAGGGTCGAAACAAAAACTGCGATGCGACATCGCATCGCATCCAAATCTACAAGCTCGCACGGCGCATCGCAAGAATTTGCGATTTGCTCCGCATCGCGCATCCCTGCGATATTAATGTTTTTGTGTTTTTTTCCTATATTTTCTTAGCAATAACAGCTGTGCAACACTCTTTTGGGTCCCTGTCGCCACCTAGTTTAAAAAATACGTTCAGTAGGTACCGTTGACGATTGTCGAAGGAATGACCACCCGAACTGTCGAAGTGAAACGCTTTGTCACACGAAATCGCATCGCAGCAATTTGTGTCACAGATTTCTGCGTTGCGAATTCGCATCGCCCCGATTGGCAGTTTTGTGTTTTGACCCATAAACAGCATAAATTAAAATATCCGCAACCGCATTCATCGATGCTATTGTTCATTGCGGATGTCCGAGTCGTGACATGACCTAAAAGGCACTCTGGAATAATTTACAAATCTTCAAGAAACAGGCTGTAAGCCACGTAAGCCGAGAAAGCACCTCAGCTGGTTTTTTTAATATAACTGATAAAATTCTATAACGAGACAGGTAGATTGATTGTTTTCCTAAAAATTGTCATAAAATCATCTAAATAACATTTTATTACAATATCAAAGAAAATAGAAAGCCTTTCATGTAGATAGATTCAGTATGTACAGTCAACAGTACATCAACCTTTACACTTTTGTTCGAATATCGTCTCCAGTGCAACGGAAAAAGATCCGTCAGTGTGTAGCATGATGTACTGTGTGTGCCGTTTCTCGCGTTTTTTTTAATACATAGGCGTAATACTAGGGAAGCGCTGGTAGCCATCATGAGAGTTCACCTTAGACATCAGGGTGACTAATAAAACCAAACAATAATGTAAATAAGCACTATATTTTGACCTCAATTAAACCCCGTTTTTATTTACAAAAATAATTGATATTTTTTTATATGTCATAAGATTACAAAGTATAATATGGCTTATGTACAGAAAAAAAGGAATGAGTTTACATTTACGATAGGCATTCTTTGTGTATTGTGTTTATTTACTTTCCGTAACAGCTATTTTCACACTATTTTTGATTTTCTACATCTATTGTGCTATTTCTATCTAGCATGTGTGTAAAACATACAATATTTGATCAACTTTTTATATCTTTTAATATGGGTAATTTTCAGGTTAGTTTTTTCTACCTAATTTTGGTGGCAATTTTTATTGTGTATTCAAGTATTTTATCGAGAACTATTACGTAATGTTTCAGAATACTACGCTCGAATATTAAATAATGCTTCATGATAATATTCCAGAATCTTTAAAAAATAAAAATTACCACCGAAATTAGGTACACAAAACTAACATGGAATCTATTTTACCGAATGTCATTATAAGAAATAATAAAAAAACATTTCAGTGTTAAACACCCAGAAGATACGTACTCCATAAAACATTATACAGAACTTAGGAAATGAAACTATTTTTCCGGATTTAAATCGCGTATATTTGTTTTTTCAAACAAACCGACCTGTAAAGGGCCCGAAACGTCGGTTTGTTTGAAAAAACAAATATACGCGATTTAAATCCGGAAAATTAGTTTCATTTCCTATGTGTAACAATCGCGAAAACCTAAGAACACGATATTATACAGAACTGCGAGAAAATAAAATGAGCCACAGATTTATGCTGATAAATATTTGTCGGTACATGATGACTTTAAGCTGTACAGTTTCAAGAGCACGTCATGCTTCTTACTTAGGCTCAATTCGCATTTGCGAATTTTCGTAACCACAGCAAAATTAACGTCAATTGTGTAACCTACAAATTAGATACGAGCCTAACACAGGTCGCGCGACTTCCAGTGAATTTTCGCGCAATTTCGGGAGTTCCTGCAGTTACCGTTTCGTATCTACTTTTTTTTCTTAACGAATGGCTTGTGGGTTTAATTTATTGTCTCAATTCTGCCAATGTCCGTTACTTGTTAGTTTCATAAATATCATGGAGGGAGTGTAATAGGAAATTTGCTCGGTGACTCAGAGGGAGTATCGAAGATACTCGTGTCTAGTTTGTACGTTAAAGAAATGACATTAAGTTCATTATCCTACGTACAATTTTTTTTTGTAATTTCGAATGACGGGATGAAAAAGTCGTGCGCCTGGTGGTAAGCTACACGCCTATCCATTACAGTTGCAGTGCCATTCAGAGCTTTAAATCGCAAAGATCTGAGTGGCACTGCCACTGCGCCCGTCTCCCTGAGACATAAGTTGACAAGTCCTATGTGCCTGTAATGTCACCGAACAGTAATGCTGACATTACTGCTTGGCGGCAGAAATAGGTAAGGTGGCAGTACTTCCCTGGACGAACTCTTTTACAAGGAGCTGTACTGCGACTAAATTTACTACTTTATTACAAACATTCGGTTCTATTCTTACCCGCGGCAATGTCAATTGAGCTTTAACAGTTAAATTCTACTTTGCACGGCATAGGTTAAAGTCTAAAATGTCTTGATGTGGTCTTGGCTGTCCTTAGGATTATATTATCCCAACTGTACTAGGACCATAAGAAATTGACATATAGTTGACTTATGTATACTACTATAACATGATATGTATTAAACTATTGTTGATTTATTGATTATTATTCACAATTAACTTGGAATTTATATAATAACAACATTTACTAACAAAATACTACACCCAATCCGAAAACATAACATTGAATCACACTGTGACAAAACTAACGACCGAGAATAAGTCAAAATTTTATTAAAAATAGTACTATAGATTTTCTGTGCTTATGTATTAAAAAAAATATACAAAACATTTATAATAAAGTAAATGCATAAATAAGATTGCTGCCAACCCACAAACCTAAAACATTAACTTAATAAATCCTTCCCTTAAAATTGTTACATAAAATAAACAAACAAATTGGCGAGTTCTCATGCACTCAATATTGGTTTTTATTTGAGTAAATTCAGGGTATTAATAAATCATTAGCAATATTTTAAGGAGCCGTTTCCTAATGTTCCTACTGGGTGCTCCTACTGGTAGGACCAAAAGGATAAATGTGTCCTCGTGCTCCTACTAATGTACTGTCACCTATATTTATATGTATTTGATATTGTAGTATTCGTATGTATGTTATCGATGAGATTATATAACAGATGATTCACGAATTATAGTGTTCTGTACAGAGCAGGGAAGCAAACTTCTTGAGTGTTTCAGAATTTTTTATTGACGCTACTTTTAAAAGTTGCCCTAAACCTTTTTCTCAATTGCTAATCATTCATGGAGACCTTTATGGTCCTTCACATGAAATAAATACAGAGCTTTTAATATATGCATTCACGCCAAACAAAAAAGAGCAAAGTTATGTTTTTCCATGGTAGTGATCCATTTAGCTCTTTCAGGTTGTTTCTGTATGTACATTTAAATTACTATATTAATTTTGAAGAGCAACCCCAAGAGTTTCTTGATACTTCTTCTTAGGGGAATCTGCCTTACGAAAGAGCGCAAAGTGACGATTTCAGTGTAATTTTCTTCTTGCCTATGAAATAAAGATATTTTTGACTATTTTATTTTGATTTTTTTTTTATTCTAGTTCAGTGTACTTATTAGATACGATGTCACGTCAGGAGAATAAGGACATGTTAGTCCTCCTACTCCTACCAGTAGGAGCAAGAGGAGACGGCCTTTTAAAGGCTTACTTTACCACAAATTATTAAATTCAGACAATATTAATACAAATTCCGGTATAAGCTCCTATGTGCATTTTTAAAAAACAATATTTTTTTAGCTGGGCAATCATAAAGGTACATAAGTCTCACCATTACAAAAATGTATCACAATATCATTGTTACACTAACACTTATGTTACATTTGTCAAAACGCTACAGTGATAATAATGCCACTGTAGTGCAGTTTAGCGTAGTGCGGTTCCACTTTTAAGGTAGTAAGTATACTTCGTTTCAATCCATTTTAAACAAAAAGTGCACAAACAAGTCACTGACCCGACCGCACTGCCCTGATAAGGCGCTATCTCTGAGATACACTTTACCTTTACCCTTTTAGTTTTTTTATACCATTTAATAACTATAATAATTTCGCATCTAATGGTATAAACGGTTTAGTGATGGCCAATTTTAATGCCAACTACAAATCGATTAACTACTTGAATGAATCGATTTGTTCAATTGAGTTATACAAGCGGTTTTCATTACATAATCCATAAAAGCATATTTAAAATTTCCGGAATGTTAATTTTAAATCCTCCTTCGAATCCTTACACTTAGATACTCGTTCAACTGCGATTGAAATTTTCGATTTACTAATCGTTTAAAAAAATTTAATTGAATGAACTGAATATTTTTTGTTCCGTACGGCACTATGCAATCATTACTATTCATACATCTATAATTAAAATATAACCTCACTTTTTGACTATCATTTTTCAAATACGATTTAACGATGTTATTCAAAGGAATATTGTTAGAAAATGTGATGAGATATCAAGTCAAAATCTTCGAAATTTCCGTGAAAGTGTTACTTATTCGATTTATTGCGTTCTTGCTTTGAAATTTAACCAAACTGTCTTGTTTATATTTTGTTTAACATTATTGGAACAAACTATAGTATTTCACTCTCTTGTTTTCTAAGAAAACCTTTTGTATATTCGTGTCTATATATATATACATCGTGTTTTCTACTAATATATTCATGTATCGATGGAACGAGTCTACCAGATATGAACGAGCCTACTCAGTCGCACCTTAATGATACTCAATCTTGCTAAAGCGATCTGACAAATGAAGCATAACTCTACTATTTGCTCCCTCGTTTTCCTTAGTCATGTTAGCTGCTTACAAGTCTTCGGACGACATCTGCAAAAGAAAAAAATATAGGTGAACATAATGAGTTAATTATTATTGTACAGAAATGATAAGTATACATAGTGAGTTGTTTAGAGCGGTTACACACGGTGACTTTTAGCAGCGATGCAATCGCGTATGAATCCCAAGTGTAGCGATGCAATCGCGCGTTTGTATCGATCCAATCGCCTATAAATCGCAAGTGTAGCGATGCAATCGCCTATAAATCGCAAGTGTAGCGATGCAATCGCGCGTTTGTATCGATGCAATCGCCTATAAATCGCAAGTGTAGCGATGCAATCGCCTATAAATCGCAGGTGTAGCGATGCAATCGCCTATAAATCGCACGTGTAGCGATGCAATCACGCGTTTGTATCAATGCAATCGCCTATAAATAGCAAGTGTAGCGATGCAATTACGCGTTTCACGAACGCGCGTTTGTATCGCTGCTAAAAGTCGCCGATGTATCCACCTTTATGTTACACAATATTTTACAGGGTCATTTTACCCTTTAGTACGGATACATTTTATTCTGGAGGGGTCCTCAAATATTCATTGTAAATACCATACAAAATCGTTTTACAATCGTGCTATTTTTTATGTTTATTATTTCTAATACATTCGACCAGAGAGGGGCAAGCGCCTGAGTTTTAACCCGGGCGGTTTGATAACGTCGGTTTTAAACCAGGTTTAAAGTCCATTAACGCCCAAAATGAAGGGCAAATACTATTCACAACTAAATATTTGTTTTATCTAAATAGAGTTTTGTTCAAATTGAATGATATTATTAGAAAATGTTTATTGTATTCTGATCTGAACGATCTGATTTGCCTTTCTATGATTGGGTTTGTTAGAAAAGCACATTGAAATAAATCGATATAAAAAATTGTTACATTGCATAGATTTGAACCGATCTTCATAAAAACGGAATCGTAATGTGCATCTTTAGTAGTGAGAATCCACAGCTGCCTCCTTTTAGTCTAAAAAAGATTTTTAAATCGAAATTGGTATAAGTATGGAATTATACCCAATTCCGTATTCACCGTTTTGTCCACGATTTTGGGCAGCAATGGGTTAAGCCCCAGCACTTTGGGTAAAAACCCAGTTAACACCCGGGAGGGTTGATTGGGTTTTTACCCACTGCCCATCTCTGCATTCGATCGAATGACTTGAATCCAAGGTCATGAAATAAATTAAAAAACTTTTAAAAATACCAGCTGTTCCAATACTACAGACGTAGTGAATAAACATTGAATATCGGGAAAACAATATAAATAAATTAAAACTCGAAAACTCAAAAAAATTCCGAACGCTGTTGCCGCGTCTACATAACTTAATGTACCTATGATAGTCAATGTCTAACGTCAAAATTAAAAGGATACGATACGGAGATGTTATAACCACCGTAAGAAGTCGGTTACTCAATTAAACGCATCGTTCTAAAAAGTTTTATTAGGTGCGATTACACAATTAACCGATGTTCATAGTTTTTTCTTTTTTTAAAGATATCGTCATGCTCCTGATGGTAAGTGACACGCCTGTCCATAACACTTGCGAGTGTCTCTTAGTGCTTTAAGTCACAAAGATTTGAGGGTAGAGATGCGCCGAGTACTTGTTTGCTACTCGGTACTCGGTGTACTCAGCCGTTTTTTTACTACTCGTACTCGGCCGAATAACTCGGTTCATGAGAAAAGTTACTCGGTTAAAATAAAGCATTACAGCTATAGACATATTAAAGTAAAATCAACAATACATTTAAAATAATCAGAAGAGATTTATTACTAGAAATTCTAGAAATTTTTAACAATTTGTAGCAATTCAGTAATTTAAAAAGAAAGTTTATATTATTCATATTTAAAATGTAACAAAGGCAGGTTTTAATGTAGGAATACAAGGCTTTCTGCGCGTTCAGGTAATGGTCTGTTCCTTTTTTCTTCATACACATTACCCGCTTCGGAAAATAACTTGCAGGTGCACATAAAAACACTCATGCTAACTGTGCCAGTTTTGGATATCTTGTTTTATTATGCCCACCATTGGAAAGGACTCTGCTCTCGCGACAATAAACTTTCATTGACATATCGGTCTAATTCTAGAGCAATGGGACTTTTAGGATCATCGCGTTCCGGTTGCAATGAACCGAGTAACTCGGCCGAGTACTCGGCTCGGCAAATGTTAAACCGAGTAATATTCGGTACTCGGTTAGTTGGTAAAACTTGTATTCGGCGCATCTCTATTTGAGGGGCATTGCCACTGAGCCTGACCTTGGGACATAACGAGATATCGAGGTTTTCGCGATTGTTACACATAGGAAATGAAACTAATCACCCTACCTCTAGTCCATTACATCCTACCATACACGTTACAAAGAGTGTACTGAAAATCTCGACTAGTCCCATATGTCTGTAATATCACTAGTACCCTACCCTTCAAAACCGCAACGCAGTAATGCTCACATACACGTAAGAGGTACTACTAAGTGTCGTATTCACAAGCTCTACTGCTACTAAAATTATGAAATTGACTAAGATGCTAATAATGCTGATGCAGCTGATGATGCTTATATAAACATAATGTTGTTGAGCCTGGTGCTGCAGATGATGCTGATGTTACTGATGGTGTTTTGATACTGATGGTGCTTATTATTACCGTCCAAGGAAGTACTGCCACCATACTTATTTCTTCCGCCATGGAGTAAAACCATTTCCGGAAATCCGGAATTCCAAAATAGTAATGAATTAAAATTTGGTGGTTCTAACAACTATATGTCACTCCTTGTAGCTATATCTATACATGTAACTATAGATTTGGAACACCTTTTTCCGACCTATGGTCGTAAGTAACGCATATGCATTTCGGTAATTTTGGAGATCGTGGCACCTAAAGTTTTTTTGCTAGTAAAATATGTTAACTCCGTTGATTTTGCTTCACAATTAAACTGAATGTGTAACAATTTAGTTTTCTGGTTTTTTAACGACTTTTTTGCCGTAGCGCCAACTGTGAGAAATCTATTTCTACTACTACTACAGAAACCTAATCTATTTCTTCACTAAACAAGAGATGTCTCTTTAATAATTGTAATTTTTAAGTTTGTTGAATATCACGACGATTTACATTGCCATCGAGTACATGACCAGAAATAGAGACGAAATAAGGGCCTCCATCCCTGGCAACTCATCGGGCAAATGAGCCTTATATAAATATACACTTCTAAATATCAACTCTCGCTTGCATTGAAATCACAAATTAGAAAACTGAAACAGTACAGCGTCAACAACTGACCTGCGTGTACGTCTCTGTATATTCCAAAAATATTCTGTATTTATTTTTCTCTAAATATGTGGGGCTGTTTCATTCGGTGGTGTAGGAAAAATAGCATAACATCTAATTACAAAACAAACGGAATCACATTTCATTGGTAATTAAATATGTAACTTTTCAATATTCGTCCATTATAGCAAAGCTCAAGTTAAACTGGTCGATTTGAAGTGAAACAATTGACGACACCCGTCAATTGTTTCGAAATTCGGGTCGGCCAATCGGAGCGCAGTTGTCACCGTAATGATTTGACAGAAAGGTTTTCAAACAAATTAAATGACATTTAGTCTCTATTTCTGGTTATATACTCGATGTACATTACATACACGTTTTATATTTTTTTAAATTCCCCACTTTATTATTGAGGGCGGCTATACAGGGTTATGTGTAAAAGACTAACAATCTCGCAGGACTATTGTACCAATGTTGTTCAATTCATGTTGTTTTGACCCTGTACCAGTCTGTTATTAAAGAACTCAATGTTCAGGTTATGAATTAGAACAAAGGTAAAGAAAACAAAATTTCGGTTAGCAAATAAACTTTATTTAATTTTTAACAATTTTAACCCGTACACTGGATTCACTGCAGACTAATACAAGTAAAGCGAGAAATTAGCGAACACGTTGACCATGTCGGTCGTGTTGACCGTTTTAGTTGGCCGACAACTCGATATTTTACGTCAAACATGTCGTTCACGATGAATATGTTGGCAAACATGTTCGTTAATGAATAGTAAACAAATGCATATTATGATTGCCTGAATTGAAAAGAAAATTGTATTAATATGTTCTATTTGTATGTGTTTGTTTAACTTTTGTACCTTATTTATTTTTAGTACAGTCAACTAAACTCTATACTCTGTCTTTGTTGAAGACGGAGTAAAATGACATTTGTAGGGTTGTACATTTTCATAAAATTTTAAATAGTTATGTAGTTGTTGACGATAGTTTTATCGATAGATTTTGAAAGAAGATTAAATTTTGTCAAAAAAGACTGAATTGTGAATGTTACGACGTTCTAATGATTACTAATTGCCTTCTTTATTCTTGTTTTGATAGTTGATCTATTAGTACAGAGAGAGAGTCAGAATAGCCGGATTTGATTATCTATATTGAATTAAAATGAACAACTTTGTAATATACCTCCTTAAAATGAACAACTTTGTAATATACCTCCTCTTAGTATTTTTCATATACGTAGTCCTAAATACAGTGCATGTATGTATGAACTTACAAAAATTGACAATTCAAATGAACTTGAGCTCAGTAATTGGATGAATAATGGGTGGAGGATGATTTAACTGGAACAAGTTCGGCTACACTACTTGTCTTACTATACTATGGTAATAGAATCCTATGAAAAACCATGGCTTCTTAACCATAACCTAATAACAACAACATACGGGATTTTTTTCCCCATCTGTCGCCAGTCGGAACAGAGCCATTGGTGACGACTGGGAATAAGGGATCATAACGCGTAAAGATTATGTACTAAAAGCCTATACATACGGTTAACCCCCGGATGTAATCTCGAGCCAAGTACCCATTTGTGTATGTATTGCGTTGAGTTGAGTGCTTGTGTTATGTAGTGGAAAATGGTTGCGCAAATTACTCAGTTTACTTCTTTACCTTCTGAACGGCGAAAACGCCATAGGTGACCCCGACGCCGAGCGCGAACGCGAGCAGATACGGCAGAAACTTCAGCGAGGGAGGCTGGCGCTTGCGCATCAAAGTCCGAATGAAGTTCAGGTTTGAGTCCGTGTAGGGTGGATAGCGGCCCCTGGAGGAAGTTGGACGATTAAAACCGGCTAATGGTGTTGATTAGTATTCTGCCTAAGTTATTGAACCTATAGGCTTACTTTATATTGGCGCAGACATTATGGAAACAAGAATTGTTCAGGGCACAACTGTCGTATAAAGTACGCATAGTTGTGCCTTCTTTCGTTACGAGGGCAGAATTATGGCGCGTATGTCCTTTTTTACAATGCTGTCAGATTTGATTTTCGTTCTTTGGTCTCAGATACGTACTCAATTAGAAAATGCCTTATGCGTTAGCTACACGACAGTTTTATTGTCTGCTTTGATATAGAAATAGTTTACTCCAAAAAGAAACACTACATCACACATACATTTAACAAATTATGATACATAATTATAACATGAACTAAAAAAAAGAAAAAGAAAAAACAATTAGACGATCCACACATAAATAACACACAAACAAGGAGCAAATAACTATAACAATAAATAAGCCCGTCTTGCTCGTGGACTACTCGATTGGTTCATCTCGGTGGACCACGCAAGTGACAAGTCATAAACATATAATTTAAGTTTGTCTCGGAATTTCCCGGTGCTACCGTATCGTATCTAGTTTGTACGTTGCACAAGTGACATAAATTTCATGCAATAGACAAGACAAAAAAACTTATATTCCGTGCCGTGGCAATGAAAAATGACTCATTATGATATCAAACGCTGCGCGTACTGACTATAGTGAACTCTGTCGTGTCGAAATATAGTGACAAAAAACCGACCTCAAAAGTTCGTGGAATTCAATTTATTAGCCAAGTTTTAAACCGGATACATACCCTAGTTTGCCACCCTTAAATAGGATCACTACTGAGGTACCTCCTTTCCAACAAAAAGAATCCTCAAAATTGGTTCAGAAATATCACGGTTCACAAGGCCTATCGCGAACAAAAAAGCAGTGGAATTGAGAACCTCCTCCTTTTTTTGAAGTCAGTTAAAAAGACAGCCAAACACAAAAAACTCTATCTTATAAGAGCCACAGCTAGAGTAATACAAACTGTTAACATAGTACCTTACGCCATTTACATAGCGTTCAAATTTGCAGGATAAAAACGTAAGTTTTTGTAGGTTAATACAATGGAACTTACGATCCCAACTTCTCTCCGATGGCAGCGAAGTTCTTGATAAGGCAACTCTTCTTGTGCGTGAAAGTGTCGAAGGTGGCTTTGCCGTGGTATGCGCCCATTCCACTGTGGCCCACGCCGCCGAACGGTAGAGTGTCAACTGAAAAGTTTTTGCAATCGCTGACAAAGGCAGTTTTCACTTTGGTTATATTGAAAAAAATAAAATAAAAAAAAAATAAAATAAAAAAAAATTGTATTTGTACTAACAGCCTCACGGGACTATTATTCTAACATCATAATTAACAACTTTTGTTCCATTACTTTTAATAATTCAACATATTTTACTTTCATACAAAAATAAATATATTTAAATAAACCGCTTTTAACTGTGCAGGACGGGGGGTGGAAGTAGGCGCGGAGGACGCTTGCACGTTTGAAATTACCTAATACAGATAAAAAAAGAGTCAGTACAACAAAAACTTAAATGTTTATTTTTGGTAAATTAATTATGTTTTGTATAAAGTCATGGAACAAAAGTTGTTGTTTGTAATGTTAGTAATATACTCCTGCGAGGTTATTTTAACAATAACCCAGTATATTGTATCTCAACTTTTGCAGATTAGAAAGTACCTGTCTGTTCTGTTTTATTTGACATGAGTAGAGCTTTCGATTACGTTTGCCATAGAACTCTACTATCCAAATTAGAAAGATACGGTTTTCGTGGCCAGGTGCGTAACTGGATAGCAAGTTACCTTAGCAACAGAACTCAGTGTGTGGAGGTAGTGAAGTTAAATAATAATAATGAGATTGAGACCCACAGATCAGAGTTTAAAGTTAATAAATACGGTGTGCCTCAAGGAAGTATTTTAGGTGCATTGCTGTTTGTATTATATGTTAATGACCTCCCTGAAATGAAAAAATATCCATGCACTCTTTTTGCAGATGACATATCAATCATTATTAATAAGAATTCTGACATAGATTATGAAAAAGAAATATGTAATATTATTGACTGGCTTAAGATAAATAATCTGAAAGTAAATGTTTCCAAAAAAAAAAAATTCATACAATTTTATATATTATAATGGAAAGCCCCAGAAACTCTCTGTAAGTTGTCATGGAGATGAAATTGTGGAATGCTCATCCAGCAATTTTCTCGGTATAGTATTGGACTCTCAACTAACATGGAAACCACAGGTTGATTCAATATGTCAAAGCTGAATCGATTTGTATTTGGTTTACATCGTCTAACGCACATATGTGATCAGAGGACTGCCTTGATGGCCTACCATGCATTTGTCTGCTCAAGCTTGCGGTATGGCCTCATCATCTGGGGGAACTGCGTAGAAATAAACCGTGTATTTGCTATCCATAAAAAATGTGTCAGAGCTATATGTAGAGTAGGTCCGCTCGAATCTTGTAGACCGTTTTTTAGAAAGCTAAATCTTCTAACGCTTTCCGCCATGTACGTATATGAGGTATGCATGTTTGTTAAAAAAAACTTGGTCTTATTTACTAGGAAACGTGAAGTATGTAATTTTTTAACTAGATATCCAAACCGCATAGCTGGCCCTTCCCATAAGACTACTTGCTTTTATAGGATTTGCTATAACATGGCCATACAAATATATAATGCTTTGCCTGCAGCTATCGCAGATTTACCTATAAAAATATTTAAAAAAAAGTTATTTGATTTGCTATGTGATCTGTGTTTATACGATATCAAAGATTTTTTAATAATAAAAAGAAATTGACATTTTGTTTGTATTTCACATTTTGTTTATATTTGTGCTGTTCTTACTTCTTTGATATTGTTTAATTTATGATTTTGTTGCTGTTACTATTTATTGGCATTTTTACTTAATTTTATATGACATTGCTTATTTGACGAATTGTATAATTTTAATTTATGCCATTATTTAACTTCAATTTATTTTAATATTTGCGTGCCAGTATCTGGTGCAACACGTGTTCTTGACACCTTGAATAATAATATCTTTTTTTACCGTGTTTGCTTGCGAATAAATATTTCATTATTTCATTTCATTCATTCCATTATTGAAGATTAGTGCCCTACTGCAGCGCTTCTAAAAGCGTGTAATTTGTGGGCGCCCTAATTCTTGCCTTTTAATGTGAAACGGGAGTTTTTATACATTTCCACGAATAATTTATCCAACCTCAACACCAACCGCTAGATCCGCCTTAAAATACGCTTCAAATGCACAAATCTGGAACACAATGTGACAAATCCGTTCGATGAGACTAGACGGAATTAGAATCGAAATTGATAGGTTTTTGTTCCGAAGTTTCTCTTATGTTTAGCGTTATTTTTGTTCAAATATAAAACAGATAAATCTAATAAGCTTCAGTGAGGAGCTTAAAACTTTTTCATTATCCTAAAAACATAAAACCAACACAAAAAAAAAATGTCAACACTGGGCATGCTATTATTCAAAGATAGTGCAAAGCATTATTGTTACAGGCAGGCGTAAATACAAGCATTGGCAGCAAATTTTACGAAAAATCTTGTATATACAAATAAAAGAGTAAAGAAATATACATAAACTTGGATTGTGGGACCTTAGGTATGTGGTTCAAGTTGGGCCACAACCAAAGACCCCACAAAAAAAACCTAAGGTACGTGTGCACCGTTAAAATTCGAAAAGAAGCTAGCTTATAATCGGTTGAACAACTCTAATTACTACTACTTCATAAACTGAGAATATATCTTTCGGGAATATGGTATTCGAAGAAATGCACTGTTGGTAAAGTGTACGTCACTGACCATTTTATTTACTGTACTTTTGACTAAACAGTGGGCCAGCATTAGGTATAGTGTATGCCATAGATACGATGAGAATTAATAATTTATCAAACAAGTAATTCACAATGAGGCGTAATGATAAATAATCTACCGGTAAAATGGTACAATTAATTCAGTTACTCGCGTGCAGCTAAGTTTACTCGTGGTGAAGTCGAAGAGCGTAGAAGTGTCCTTCGATGAAATAACTTTCTATGAATAGTAAGTAAGTCCTTCTTTTTTCCAGTAAGTTGTCTAAGGGTTGGTACAAAATCTTTTTTTAAATCGCTAACGCTACCAGAGACGGCCTAAGAGATAAATATATTTGAAGCATAAAAAAGGAAAAGAAGATCCAAACCTCCCATTTGCATGACCGTATCGTTACAGCATACGCTTCCACTACTTGTATTGTTGAGGAGACTGTCCCGAACGGTTGCATTTGTCGTGAAGATGTACATTGTTAACGGCTTCTCTCTACGAGTAAGGAACATTATGAGACCACCACCGGTAGTAATAATACTAAATAAAAAATAAAAGTAATAGTAATAAATTTACGAAGTTTTCGATTAGAACTGTGTTGGTGTAAACTGAAATACTTTTTAAGGGATGTTATATATTTAAATATTAGATTAAAAATATACGTACATTGATTTAGTCACTATGAAAACGCATTTGATGTTTTACAATTTGTAACTTTCTTTAAAGAAACAAAAAGATGAAAAACCATACAACACAAATTTCCAAACAAATTTCCTTGCAGCACTACTAGGAAAAGAACTTAGTTGTATTACGAGAAAAGTGGAGGCTGAGAACACGTTTCAAATATTTCAGTGTCACCAACAAATAATTATTCTGAGAAACTTATATTAATTACCAGATATTGGAATAGGCTGAGTATCTTAACCTAAAACTCGAGGAATACTCATAAATTGGCTAAAACCCCTCTGTGAAGTTATAGAATAGTTAAAAAAAAGGCAAAATCCTGAACAAAATTACAAATATATCGACCATGGAAAGGCAAAACGTGTAACAAGCATTTGATAAATATTACAGGAGAGCTATTTAAAGTAATTTATTTAAGGAAAAAACATTCCTAACTCCAATTTTATTTGTTATATGAAAGAGCTAGAGCTAGCTAGAGCTCCTTGTGAAAGAGTTCGTCCAGTGAAGTACTGCCACCTTACCGATTTCTGCCTCCAAGCAGTAATGTCAGCATTTGTGTTCCGGTTTAGAAGGGTAAGGGTGCTGGTGAAATTACAGGCACATGGGACTTGTCAACTTATGTCTCAGGGTGACGGGCGCAGTGGTAGTGCCCCTCAGATCTATGCAATTTAAAGATCTGAGTGGCACTGTAGCTGTTACGGACAGGCGTGTAGCTTACTATTTGTCCGTCCCGTCACTTGATATTATAAAAAAAAAAATTCCATATAATAAATAAAAGTAAGATTTTTTCTTAAAAAAAAAAATTTAATTTAAATCTTTAAATCGCTCTCTTGTAATATTTTCCAAACGCACGTTACACGTTTTACCTTACCAGCATTTATTCTGCCTATTTCGATCTCTGTTAAGTACATACATAAAATAGCAATAAGACTAAACAGCTTCAGAATCATGCTTTAATTTAACGCTTAAATGTGTCCAAAACTTATAGCTAACAGTTTATTGCAATATTATCTAGCCATCACCAGAAACAACCTTCACCAAAAAACCAACACCGAAAACCTAAAGAAAATGTCACAAAAACCACAGTGCTAAGGGAATATGGCACCAAAACCGAATTAGGAATAGTAGAAACGACTAAACCACACGACCATATTGATTTCTAATTACGAATTTTGGAAAAACAGCCAAACCATATTGATGCCAAGTCATAGAGATTTTGCAGAAACAAAATTTTGGTAGCCATTAAAAAATTTTGCTATATGAACTAGCCAGTATTCTTTACGAATTTTTTAGCAAGTATATAATATATTCTACTGTATCCTAATGACTAAAAGCATTCATTTAGTCTAGGTTTGTAAAAAACATCTGATAGGTATTCTGATACGGCATCTCGAAATTATATTATTGATGATAATAAAAGCTAACAATTTTCTAAAAATATTCAAAAAACGAATCGTATTTTGTTTCAGCAAATTTCTCCGTGTGCGCTTACCAGCGTAGAACATGACCGTGTCGTTCATACTAATACTCCCCGAGTGAGTCTGCTCGGTGAACAGGTTCTGAATGTTGTTCTGCCCGCTGAACACGTATAATACTAGCGGACGCTCCCTGCAATACCACCAGCGGGTTCATGGGTTGATGGGGGATCACCCGTTTGATGGAGATTAGGGGAGAGAAGATATAATGGTGTCACACTTTTTATATGCTTTTTACTAACAGGATCACTGGGATTTTTTTCCCCCAGAAGTATAACTAAAAAAAGTAAATGAATTTTCTTTTGGTATAACAATGGCATATACCGCATTATATCTTCGAATTTTCATTAAAAAGGACGTAGACAACCCAGGATTAATCCAGACTGATAATCGTTACACCATTGTAAACAAGTTAAGATAAACACCACTTACTAAAATAAAATAGTAAATGTTTCTACATTCAAGAGTTTGCTTTAAATTTAGGGACTCATCACATTTATTCACACGGAACCGCCTTGAAAAACCCTTATGTCCATGCAATAAGAGTGAAAAAGACGTTTCGCTTCCTCTTTCTTCGTTCTTATTACATGTACATAAAGATGTTTCTGTCCGGCTTAATGTGATTCCGTGTTGATAAGTTGGTGACTCCCTTATCTTGCGTTACAATGTTATTACGCCACAAGTTAGGTTTGCCTCGGGTAAAGGAATTGTTATATCGTGTAAAATCATGACGTCACATTATAGATATATAAATTATAGAATCATAGTTAAAGGATATAAGGTTGCACTTCATTAATTCCGATACCATAAATTAACCGGAGGCACAAGTCCCTTGTCCAATTTTTTGCGTATTACTTTGAGACTGAAAGGAAGTGAGATATTATTTCAGTCTCCAGTTAACTTTATTTTATGGTATTTCAGAAAATTGAGAAGTCGATTATGGATGCATTAGTTATATTTGGAAACTATAAAAATGTAGTATACACCCATCTGTTTAGAATAAAATTGTAAAAGTGATAATGCTTTGTGACACGAAAATAATGTGATCAAGTGCAAATTGTTTTCCTTTAGGTCCGATCGATTCAAGTGGCGATGGCAATCACGGTGAAAGGACAATGCACCATAGTCCAATGGTGAAAATAAAATTCATTTGCCAATTGCAACCCAAATTTGATTTGATCGTCCGTATTTACCCAAGTTGCAATGAAAATATCAATTAAATCAAATACAGCCACCTTTTGATTAAAGGACATAGCTTTCAAAGTCGGAAAGTGTTTTCCAGATAAATTAATTGAAATGAGGGGTGCGAAACGTAGATACTTTGACTTCATTACTTCTTTACTATAGTATTCATTATCGACAGTCGCACATAATATTCATATTTTTAATCAGGATATCAAACATCAAAATATTGAGCAAATAAAAGAAAACCACTATTCCGAACTTTGTATACAGGGTCCTTTGGCGAAAATTGCAAACGAGACACACACAACCCTAGTAAAGCCTGTGAAACTCACATAGATTTTTGACTGAAATGCACAGTGATTTTGACAGACACTCGCAAGAACACACTTCCTATCGCAACACTCTTGGATTTATCGATATTTCGGCTAGTGTAGAAAAATGCCTCTGAAGTTTTATTACACTTATCCCTACTATAGTACGGATATTGGTAATTAAAGTTATCGATGATTCACATTTGGAACTATCGATAACTACTTAGGTCCATATTAAAGTAGGAATATACTTAATCTTTTTTTATTTCTAAAGTACATACAAGTGTACAAAACTGCAGAGGATTCTTTAAAACACCAATTCCTATTATATAATTTGAAGATAGAAGCATCAATCGTGTATCTACGTACTAAGAAGTACAGAGGGTACTTAAAAATAATTGGCTCTTTATCCATTGTAATACAATCCATTATATTAATTATATCCCACATCAGCTTCAACACAATCACAACTCAAAAAATTACAAAAGCGGCGAGTAAATATATCTTGGTTATGTTTTCGAATAAATACCCTTCACACCTGTTAAATAAGTGACTCTAGTACCGAAAGTGTAATAAACTACAACCAAACTTAACTCATTAGGGAATGTCTCGATATTCTCGATCTCGATCGAAAATTATAGGGATAGGGACTCATGGTGCCATTAGATCTATAGTCGTGACCACTAGGTCAGGAACTGTTTAATTCCCCAAATAAATATCTCACGCGTGTGCAACTCATGGTAATGTTACTGATCAGTCATCAAATGTAACTTTTTAGGTAACTTCGGACTGAGTATATAATGTTGCCATATTGTTCTAAATTCTTTACCAAAAACTGGGGAACTTCACGTATACGCCCATACAGAACCCAAAATATGAAGATTTTTGACTTGTGATACTCTTGTAGCCGGTGTGCGATATTTTCCATCTTATGTTTGTTGGATAATGGGCCTTAATGTCAACATACCTGGCGTTGATAAACTTGATGGCTTCATAAGCATTTTCGACGGGTACAATCGGCAGAATAGGGCCGAATATTTCGCCCTCCATGATTTTGTCTTTCTCAGTCACGTTGGCGACGATCGTGGGTTCGATAAAACGGTCTTGCGCATCGGTCTTTCCACCGACTACGATTTTGTTCACCGAGGCGTCTAGAAGGCTTTGGAGACGGCTGGTAATGGAATTGAAATTACACTTAGTATGCGTACGAAAGGAACACAAAATGGTAAAAGATTTAATCGAAGACTGAGCCATGGGGATATTGTACCTTAACGGCATATAAATATTTGTTATTATTCAATAAAATTAATGTATACTTAAGTATGTTCACAATGGCTATTTAACAAGTAATGGCGGAATGAATTTGTCTATATTTTTAGATCTATAGGTGTATTATTGATTTTGACAAAATGAAATGAAAGATCAAACGTCAATTGAAGTTGATACATATACAATAATATTAATAAATAATAACAATATTATTAAACTACAAATTTTCTAGGATGATCCCTGTGACATTTCCCAAAATTCGACACAGTATAACCTTGTAACGACGTCCACTAATTTACGTATTTTATACACTATTTTTATGTCTCGCTTTTTAGTGAAAAGATTTTGTTTAAGCAAATACATAAAAAATTTAATTAAAGTAAAAGTAATACCAAATTAGTGCGAAATGAGCAGAGAACATTTTTTTTCCAAAAATTAATTTATCTTTACGACAACGTACATAGGTTACTTCATTAGACTGCATTTGCTAGAGACGAGGCATATTGAGAAAAAGTTTTCGATGATTTAATGAATAAATACATAGTGCGTACACTAGTTTAACCAATTAGGTAATTAGTGATATGATATTAATATTTTTAATCTAAATTATGAGTCTCAAATTGATTAAAATATCAATTACAATGGCATTTGAATTTAGTGGGGTATTTTATGCCTTTAATGCAATACAAAACACTTCATACATTTATACAACGTTTTCGAGAGCCAGGGTCCATTATTTTGTTTCTCCCGATCCATATAATCGTGTAGACGCACTACAATTTACCGAACTTGACTGTTGAGGACAATCTTTTGGAGTCTTTTCAGCATGGCTAAACAACAACAGCCAAATTAAACATACTAAAAGTCAACAAATAAAAACAAATAACTTTAACGGAAAACACAACAGCAACAAATAAATACGTGGCACAAACAAGGTGTCAGCTCGTAATAAAATAAATTGACACATATTTATATATGTCAAGATCAACGTCAAAAGTATTCTTGAACAAAATCATAGATTTTAGGACGCTATAATTGGTTGTATATGCAATTATTGTTAACCTATCGCTGGCGATGGCTATTGAATCATAAACAGAAACAGCATTTACATTTAATTTATTTCTTCTCCGGTACCTACTCCATAGAAATATCAGATCGGATAAAAAAAAAATATTTATATACAATTCATGGGAATTAATTATTTTAAAAACTAAATTTTTTTAAATCCGTAATATTATACAAGGCTGTATAAGAGAGAACCTTTGCTTCAAAATCAAACCAAAAATCTATCGACTTTACCTCATCTCTATGACAAACGTCAAATGAAGTGTCACAGGGACCATCCTTTAAAATTTGTTAGTATCATATACATCTATCCTCTCGCACTTGCCGAGAAAAATTATTTGTCTCAACAATACTTTATTACTCCGCGAATAACCTATCACGTATTTCCTTATTTTTCTATTGTATTTCAACAAAGTAACTTTTAAAAGTAGGTAATAAAATTATACAAGGCTGACGTTTGAACTCTCGCCGTGGCGCGGAGTTATATACACACGTTGGCGTTAGACAATAACTGCGCAACCATTTCAAGGTCTAGAATTAACTTAAAGTTAGCCTATAAAGTCGAGTAAATTTTCTCAGTTAGATTACGAAGACACTACGTACACTTGGTATAAAAAAAATGTGATCATACGTAAAAATAGACAACACAAAAAATATATATATCGACCCTGGAAAGGTAAAACGTCTAGCGGGCATTTCGATGCCTTACTTTCTCAAACTCGTATCTCATAAAGAGTGATTATTCAGGAGAGGACAAAACTTTCTATTTATTTTAAATTTCTTATCAAGGGAACACCCTTGATAAAGTAACAACTTTGGATGCATTACTTTAATAATAATAATAAAAACGCACACACTCAACATAGCCCCGCACTAGGGAAACCCTGTGTCGCGGGTGCCATGGACACACACATAGACAATCACAAATTACACCCAAACTCAAGAAAGAAATAAATGTAGGCCATACAACGCCGTGTGTAATCGTTCCAGTTTAAAGCCCATATGTAGTCTGTGGCCCGTAGTCTAGTGTCACACTTGACGTGCTGTGTGCATTCAACAGCACGCTGGGATTAACGCATTGGTTGTACCGCCTTATCTCTACGAGTATAGAGCTGAAATCAAAGTGTGTGAAAGACGTGCCATTCTCCGTGCATTATTATTCAACCTGCAGGCAGGCGTGTAAATGTTAATTTCTCCCGGCCCGGGAATCGAAGCTGGGACCTCTGCGTGGTAGTCATGGTAACCGTTCGGCGATGACGACAGTTACGAATAGGTAAAAGCCAGCGTGTAAATATGAAGGAAATGTGATATCAGACTGCAAAATTTGTATACACAATCCATGTTTTGCATTTCAGTAACTGTGTGCTTTAAGATACGAGTTTGTGAAAGCAAGGCGTCATTTCGGAAAATATTACAGGAGAATGAATTGAAGCAATTTTTTTTAAGAAAAACTATTTTAATTTTTTTCCATTTAACAGCGGAAACTAGAAGTTTTCCATATAACAAATAAAATTAGACTTATGATTATTTTTTCTTAAAAAAAATTGCTTCAACTCACTCTCCTGTAATGTTGTCCAAATGCACGTTAGACGTTGTATCTCTCGAGCGTGGAATTATGAAAATCACGGTAGTAAAACATCATCTTCTCTCAGTTAGGTCTCCTCATGGGGAGCCGCTTTATGGTTAAACCTATCTATAAGTGTCATAGATAAAAAGTACCTGAAATGCCTGCTATTGACAATCCTGCAAAGATCTGGTGATTTCTGGGGATCCTCGCCATACCACTCATAGAGCACTTTTTTAGCAGCTTCCACGAACTTGTCTTGCACCTCTTTGGAGCACAGGACGTAGTCCGGTGCGATGCAAGTTTGGCCCGCGTTTATAAACTTGCCCCATAGTATGCGGCGTGCTGACACCACGATGTCTACTGTATTGTCAATGTAGACTGGACTGTAAGGCAATAATCATAATATTTATAATAATAACGTAGCATTTAATAATATAAAATACAATGTAGTAGCAGCAGAGCTACCTATTTCTGCCGCCAAACAGTAATGTTAGCATTACCGATGTTCCGGTATTGAAGGGTTAAGGGTGCTGGTTCAGTTCAGGTTCAGTCCAGTTCATATGGAGAAGAAACCGACGATTCATTATAATAAACAATAAGAATTTATTATAATTATTTATAGTTTATTTATTTTCATTATGATTTATTAGACAGGTATCAAAACTGATCAACTTGAATAATCTTCGTTACATAATCTGTTAGCTCGATAAACATCGGAGCTAGCACGTCGTTTCACTAAAATAAAAAATAAACGAGTCCAGGATGTATTGCATTTTTTGTCTATGGTTGTATGTCAATAATTACGGAACTTCGGAGGCATGCATATGTCAAAAGTTAAATAAATGGTTGGACGGAGTATAGTAGCAGTACAGCTCTTTGTGAAAGAGTTCTCCGAGGGAAGTACTGCCAACTTAGTCGTTTCTGCCGCCAAGCGCAATTATTACTTTATGGGAAGAGCTAGAACGACAGTCGTCAAACGACAAATAACACGTCACGACGTGACGACAGAATAATCTTAGCTTTAAACGATTCTGTCGTGCAAACGACAAGGCGGATGCCGTGAACCGACAAATTGTCGTCACGATCTAATGGGAACAGGCTAGACGCGACAGTCGTTCAACGATAAATAAAACGTTACGGCATAATGGGAACAGATTAACACATTAATTTGCTTAAAACTAGATTTGAACCAGAATACCAACCAGAGCGTGTACATACGGCATGTTTAGAAAAGCAACTGTCAAATTATAAATGACAAAATTTATGTTGGTACAAATAAATAAAAGGAAACACAAAAAAGATAAATAAGTGTTAAAACAAAATTGCTATATCTTTCTTAAAATTTTTATACTATGTGCGTTCCCACTATGTCGTGACGACAGATAGTCGTGCAGTTTACAGTGTCGTGGTCTGTATATTTAAATGAAGTTGTTCACATATAAAACGTCACGATTAACTGTCCTTCACGATTTTTTTGTCGTTACGACGACAGACCGTCGTGATAATGGGAACAGTTAGAACGACAGTCGTCTGACGGGAAATAAAACGTCACGACAAAGTGGGAACGCGCCCTAACTGGACTACTTGAGAATATCTGAGACGGACATTTTAAAGTCACAATTAGAATTAAATATATCTACTTGTTTGTTGTCCTTAATAAGGTCATTATAAATCGCTAATGTCAACAAGTAACCGCTCTAATTTGGGAAGAATCGATAGCAGTAAAATGGCAACATGTATGGCATTGATGGATGGAGCATTCCAGTGTTCGCATATAGGAGTGATATAACGGATGACGTCATACCTCTTGCCACCCAATTCAAGAGTGACGGGGGTCAGAGACTTCGTCGCCGCCTCGTAGACAATCTTGCCGATGCCAGTGCCGCCCGTGAAGAAGATGTAGTCAAACTTTTGTTGCAGCAACTCGGTTGTCTCCTTTGGACCACCTTCGACCACTAGGACTGCGTCCTGAAAATGAAATGTTTATGTAAATGTAATGAAACTGTGTGATTCTGTGACGAACTTCGCTTCCATTGCTGGCTTGGCATCATGGACTCAACAAGGACACATATAACATGAACAATTGTTATTAATATTATTATTGATAAACTCTATATCACTGTAAAACTGTACTCAGGCAACATAGGTCTTTAAAATATGATCTAAATATTTCGAAGAGGAGAAGGAAAGACAGTGCGGTACAAGTATATAAAGTAAATACAACATTTGCGAACAGACAATTCAACAAGCGATCGGCCCATTTGTATAATTTAATTAATAAGGAATTAGAAATATACACCAAAAGTTATAGAGACTGCAAGAAACTTATATAAAAAGGGCTACAGTCCAAAACATATGAGGAAACCGAAGATCTCCTAGAATACTTGCTTTAAAAACATTACTCTCTTAGACTATGGCAACACGAAAGTTAAGTTAAAAATGGAAAATGTGCATTTATAGCTATGGGAGAGCGGTACCTCCGGACACGGGCTTGATAAGTATAATAGGAGGTACCATCCAATGGTAATGAGCAGTTAATTGTATTACTGAAACAAACATTTTATTATTTATTATTGATCTTTTTAGTCGTTTTCTTCATTGCTGAAGGTCGTGTCCCCGAAAGGTTTTCGAGATTTTATGGACTATTTTCTTCCATCAGTGCTAGCCCTACTGGTTATCGTCAACTCACTGCGAACCGCAGCAAACGCGTTCTGTAGGGCTAGCACGACAAGAGAGACTTGCGCGAGAGCAATATAAAGCGAGAGATCACTATGCGAGAATAGTAGCATCTCGCGCTCTACGTCGCTCTCGCGCTATTCGCGTCCTGTCGTGCTAGCCCTACTGGTCTGTGTTCAGTGTCTATCAGGGCAGTTGCTATAACGAGGCCAGTGATTTCAGGTCATTTGGTCACTCCATCAGCTAGGTGATCTACCGTGGAGTCCCTTTCCCTCCATCTTACTCACCACAATCAGTTTGTCAAGGTAATCAGCTATATGACCATAATCTCAGTATATAATAATAAAAAACCGACATCAAAAGTTCGTGGAATTTGCTAAGTTTTATTGAAATCGGCTACCGGAAAGTGCGCAAAATCGGATTCACCCCAAAGTTTGCCACCTTTGGATGTGGAATATTTTCATCAAATTTAAATGGGAGCACTACTGAGGTACCCTCTTTCCAACAAAAAACAATCATCAAAATTGATTCACAAATCACCGGAGTTATCGCGTGACATATACACGAAAAAAAATACAATCGAATTGAGAACCTCCTCCTTTTTTTGAAGTGGGTTAAAAATACTTTAGAATTCTCTGGTAGCATATTGTGGAAATTTATCCGCGATTATTATTATTGATCGAACAAACAGGAAGGAAAATTCCTTTAGTCCGGCTGAACGAAAACCAGCGACCTCGCCATACCGGGGCTATCGCTCTCCCAACTGAGCTACGGAACGACGAGGAGACCTTACGAATTTCTCTACGTGCTTGTTGTGTTTATTTTTATTTAAACGACTTCTTTGCCGTATTATTAATTATTAATAATATTGATAAGTAAATTTCATTCTATTTGACTCGTAAAAAAATCTACCACAATTGTACTTACATTGTCCAAGTATTTAGGCAGCATTTCAGCTATGAAGTTAGCACAATTTACAGATAGCTCGCTCGGTTTGACAACAACGGCATTGCCGGCAGCGATGGCGCCCGACATAGGGAGCAGCAAAAGCTGAAGTGGGTAGTTCCACGCTCCGATGACTAGAACTACACCGTAGGGATCGTTGTAGATGACTACGTCGTCTAGCATGTTGACTATGGTTTTCGATGGCTGAAAGAAAATTTTGTCAGTCAAAAAATGATTTTAAAGTCGCTCAGCACGGGACAAAGAGGTAAATAATTTGATTGATTAGGACTTAATAACAGACCTTATAGACTTTATAATAGAACCTTATAACAATTGCAGACAGATATTAAATGGGATAATATTATTTGATCTTCAAAGATATAATTGGCATGGGCACTCTTTAAATAAACATTATTTTTTATGTTTGATATTATATTATTAACTGGCCCGTCTATATTAATTGATCTACGGATAAATTATAAATGAACTGCATTCAAGGTAACACTATCATTATGTTTGAGCATACTAAATTAATATTTGGTATTAAAAATTATATTTGATCCTATTTTTATATTATTGTTCTTTTCTTTTAACGGTTGATGACATAAGGCCGCCTGTTGTACCTGTCGTTTTTCTATTATTATATGTTTGTCCCAGCGTGCAATAACTTGAAAATTTTGCACATGTTTTGTTTTTGCATGATTGTATTGCATATCAGAACAATCAGCAGTATATTATTACATGCAATAAGTCTCTACATTACTGGTCACAGTACCTAAAGTTTAAGGTTTAAAAAATTTTAACTGTTTTTTAGTAATTGTCTAGACTTACTCTCACAGGTTTTGCCCATTCATCCAAGTGGTGCAGTGTGTTTTTCAAATCATTGATTAAGTAATCAACTTCAAGCAGCAACGCTTCCATCTTGCTCCTGCGCAGGTCCTTTCGCAGAGCCTCGACCATCGCGTCTTGGTTCTCCTCGTACATGCGCAACATACTCTTTAGCTGCTTCCGGCGCCATTCCATTGGTTTTGTCACCCCGCGGTTGAAAGCATCGTGTGCCTTTTGCACCGTCTGAAGAGTTAAGATTTATGCATCTTATTATTTTAGTTATCTATGACTACATGGTTTGGTTATATATCTATATATATATATATATATATATATATATATATATATCGTCGCTTAAAAGCTAAACGGCCGCATATCAAAAGTTCACTTTTTTACAGGAGAGGCGATCGAAGTTTTCGACCTCATTTTTTAACATTTTAATATTGTTCTATTTTTAAATACCCATGTAATTTATACTCAAAAGATGCGTATTTTAAAGCTCTTTATATTTGTAAACACAGACACACTGGCGTGACACAATAACAATTACGCAGTGTTTTTTTTACTTTTCACTTCAGTTTGGTTTTTGAGACCTGTACCAAAAAGTCAAGACTAGTCCATCTAGTACATCTAGTACCATAACGTCCACGTTACGTTACTGAGACGTAAGTTCACAAGTCCCATGTGCCTGTAATTTCACCAGCACCCCTACCCTTCAAAACCGGAACATAGTAATGCTGACATTACTGCTTGGCGGAAGAAATAGGTAAGGTGGCAGTACTTCCCTGGATTAACTCTTTCACGAGGAGCTCTACTGCTACTGAATCTACTGAACTAATCACCGTTATTGACAGGGTATCAAATTGGTTTTAACATGACTTTCTAAAATACACTAACAAATCGGACTTGGACGTCACAAGGTGACATCTGGATATAGAATCTATAGAATTCTCTTCTTGTATCTATAGAATTCTACATTCAGATGTCTGAACTGATGATGTCCAAGTCAATTCTATATCCAGTTTAGATAGTCAATCGACTATCTTAATAAATGGCAAGTGCGATGCAAATGCTTCTATAATAGAGAAACGAATAAAATATTATTGTAAGTAAGTAATACATACCTCGGGGATGCTAGCCGCCTTCGGCTTCGAAGTAACGGTTCCTGTAACAAATGGAAAATAATTGATTCAATTATACAATTCTTAGAAAATGGAACGCTTCGGTAGATTGGATGTTAGTATAATAAAGACACAAATTTATAGAGCGAATTTGGAGAAAGGTCGACCTTGGCGTAAATATATCAACCAAATCGATGATGGTTAGGTCAAAACCAGAAAGTCATTGTGTGTGTGTGTGTGTGTGTGTGTGTGTGTGTGTGTCTGTCTCTCTCTCTCTCTGTGTGTGTGTGTGTGTGTGTCTGTGTGTGCGTGCGTGCGAGTGTGCGTGCGTGCGTGTGTGTACGTGCGTGGTGTGCGTGTGTACGTGTGATTGTATATTTTAAGGAAAGTATTTGTACTTTTCATATCTATATGATTTATTCATATTGACGGCTGATAATATTTGGATAAAAATTGCTAAGTTTGGCGAATTGTAATATTATTTTTTATATGACGAAGCCTACGTTGCGGATTCACATATGTAATTAATTCAGTTTTTAAATTAATTGAATTGTACTGAAATAACAAATTTTTAGTTAACCGATTGTAGTACAATTAGTTAATAACGAATGACTTAGCTTATTTATAGTTACTATCACTTTCAGTTAATATTGTATAAACATGTGTGTAATTATGTAAATCAACATTGACCTTTATGTAGAAGTTTTTTTTGACAATCTTATCAGGAATACCCCGTTACCATGTAGAATTTGTTTATTATGACATTGTTATGCAACTCGTAAACGTAATCGGTTGTTGAACCAAAAGCTGATATCAAATATAAATGTTATTTAGAGGTTAATAAAGTTATAAGACTTTGTTCTTTGTGTAAATTTTTCCTGCAGTTACAGACGGCAGCATATCAAGGTACACATTGACGTATTTTGTTTCGCACTAGAGGCGATTTCCGAACAAAAATGTGTAGTCTGATGTGCTGTTTATTGTACCTAATTCATTGAGTTGAGATGGTCGCAATAGAAGCAATGGCAAAGATTACACTTTAATAGACGGGCTGTTACAAAAAGTTGTAATTGATGGTAGCAACAAAAATAGAGGAAAAAACTTGCTGTTTTATATTTAAGTAGGTAAGCGTTTGGCCGCCGTGGACGCTTTAAATTGTCTTACATTAACTTGGCTGATACGCCAATGACGCCTTAAAGCGTCTACGAAACCCTTTAATCTTCAATTGAAATTAATAAATAAATATTCCATGTGTTCTTTGTATATTAGGTAAGTATGGATTCATAGTTGCATTTTATGTTCAGTTATGTTCTTGTTTGATTTAGGAGAATTGAATTAATATAAGGTGGTTTTATAACAGTGATTAGTTCAGTAGATTCTGTAGCAGTAGAGCTCCTTGTGAAAGAGTTCGTCCAGGGAAGTACTGTCACCTTACCTATTTCTGCCGTCAAGCGGTAATGTCAGCATTACGGTTTTCTCGTGAAATTACAGGCACATAGGACTTGTTAACTTATTATACTTCAGATATAACAGTCACCGTGTATTGTGTATAATGTATTATTAATATAATTTCACTAGTGTTTAGGTGCAATGATCAATGAACCGAATTTGTTTGCATCAATAGTTCAGGAGGAAGATTATTCCACATCCAGCAGGTTCCTGGAAGGAACGAACAAGATGTCAGAGTGGTCTCACAATGCCAGGCATCTAAGATGTGGGGATGGACTCTACTCCTTTAGCGGGAGTCGCGATATGGAAACGAGACAGTGGCACCAGTTCGAAAAGTTTCTCAGAGCCCTTTCCAATATAAAGACGGTAGGACACACACAGAGAGCCTCTCCATAAATTTAGTAACAAAGGCAATTATTATTATTAATTTTCTTTTGTGATTTTAGAGAAGTGCCCATAGTAAAAGTTATTTATGTTGGTGATCAGAATGTTGCGGAATTTTCAGGGTCACCCTGTTTGATTATTACGTGGCAGTAGCCTCATCAATATACATATATATATATATATATATGTATTAAAAATAAACTTTATGCATTGATTTTACTTTGTGTTATGCCTTTTGGGGATATCAAGTAGAGTATTAACGCCATTAGAGTTTTTGTAGAATTATAATAATAATAATAATAACGCACACACTCAACATGGCTCCGCACTAGGGAAACCCTGTGTCGCGGATGCCATGGACACACACATAGACAAACACAAATTACACCCAAACTCACAAGAGAAATAAATGTATTAATTGAGCCTGGAACCTTTGCGTGACAGGCAGGCATGGTAACCGTTCGGCCACGGAGGCAATTAATTAAAATTAAATTATATAATAATAATTCAATTAACATTATAATAATAATTAAAATAAAATATATTACAATAATTTATATAAAAAAGACAAAGTACAAGATATCGTGATGATTTAACATACTTAAAAATTTCAGCTAACTGCAGCAACATTTGTTTTTCGATAATGTAATTACTTTTAATCTTGGATTCCAAAGTGTTAAAATGATAATTGTTTTATCAATAGGGATTAAAAATTTTTGCATCATATTATTAATATTACATGATCTTCAATGCTGTTGGTATTGGCTTTTAATTGAAATGAGTTTTTTTTTTAATATCAAGTACAAGCTACACGCCTGGCCATAACAGTTGCAGTGTCACTCAGAGCTTTAAATCGCAAATATCTAAGGGGCACTGCCACTGCATCCGTCACCCAGAAATACAAGTTGAAGTCTCATGTAATTTCACCAGCACCCTTACCCTTCAAAACCGGAACAGTAATGTTGACATTACTGCTTGAAAGCAGAAATAGGTAAGGTGGCAGTACATCTCTGGACGAAAGCTTTCACAAGGAGATCTGCTGCTACTAAAGTATTACTATCCTGTTAGTGATGATCACATTAGGTAAAAATAATTATAATGTGCCAGACAACTACACCAATTACCTAATCACAAACTAAACAATTCCCTGGACTATAAATATCAGAGCAATGAAATTCACTCCAGAGCACTACCCAAACACTTAAATGAGAACCAATTTAGATAGTTTAATTCCCATGTTGATTCTACTGGGAACTGGGTTTTGGAACTCCTCATCCTGTGTCGACAGTGCAAATTACTGCAGTCATTTATTGTCACTAAGAATTTTATCAAGCTTTACTCATATCTAAATCCTGTGATTAATTTTTTGTTTCCTTTTTTCATATATTATTTGACAAAAAATTTCTTGATTGTTCATGACAAAACAAAATTACGGGTACCTTTTTTGTCTCAAATCTCATTTTTTAATGGTGGATAACCATACCTGGTCTCAAGCCAAGGAATTAAGTATCAAGTGCATCAGAGCAACAGAATTCACGTCGGGGCAATAACCAATGCACCAAGACCACCAATTGAGAAGCAAGGGAACAAAAACTGACAACATTTTGACTTAATTCTTCTTTTTTAATGCCAAGTGGCAGTTTTCATATGTTTCACGTATAATTTATGAACAGCAACTGTTAATCCAAAGCAACAATTAATCCTCTTTAAAAATATTGCACCCCTCATGGAAGAACGGCAAGTGGAGTTACATCGAAAACGTTTATTGCTCCATTAGATACTGAAAAGTATAACCCACATCCTCTCCAATTCCGGTTAGTTGATTGACTAACATTGTAAACAGAGTGCGATGTTTCAAATGCATGGATCGAGTGACTTGATAAATCCATTCAATGCGACTACACGAACTTAGATTCAAAATTTATCAGTTTTTCTTCCGAAAATTCTCAATTTAGGAAAGTTTAGTTCTCTATTGGTCCTACCAGGAATCGAAGTCGGGACATCTTTAGCTACCACCACAATGCAAACCATTGGGCCACCAAGTTCATTATTAAGTTTATTAAAAGTACTTGGTATTTAGTAAAGATCTATACGTCAGTTTAATTAATACCTTCAGTTATTATCGTTCAGTGTAATCACTTTCTTAATTGGCCTTCATTACTTCATCCATGTACTGGTTTTAAAGAGATATGTTATTATAATATTCGCTTGGTCACTCTTCATTCGACTGGTTCTTGCAACGTATTTTGTGATAATACAAAATTGCAAAAAAAACTGGTAAGTAGTGTGTCTTAAATGTATACAAACTCATTTGTATACATTTAATGTCCTAGAAATAATAGTAATTTGTAAACGCTTACCAATAGTCATCGTGAAGATACAGCGAATAAATCAAGTAATCACGCAACAAACAACGACCAAAGTCCGTTTTGTTACAACACAAACAAGTTTTTATTACTAATTTTGCGCCATAAGTTTGACTAAGTTATTGGATTGACAAAATTCTAGTTATTCTAGTATAGCACACTGTTTATCAAAGTTTATGGCAACGTTAGACTCTGCAATACAACAGCTTTCTATGGTTATGGTATGGTGAAAGCTGTGTATTATTTATATTTATTGTTTTTTGGAAAACAAAGTCAGCTGCTCAAATTCTCTACTTCCTTGGACAATCAGCGAACGAATGACCAAACGTATCATGTGTTGCTTTTAAAATAGAATTGAACGAAATGAATGAATGTAAAAGGTGGAAACTAGAATGAAATTCAAGAAATAAACTAGTTACTTAGGTCGCCAATAGATGGCGCTTTATATAATTAAATGGTCATTACAAGACGAGAAACTATTTTTTCAAGATTTGTAAAAGTAGATTTTCGAAACATGGTATATTAATATGTAAGTAAAATACATTTATTATAAAACATAAATGTCTAGGAAAAAACCAAAGGCTCTGGTTTAAAAGTCTGAATAGATCAATAACTAAATTTGTACGAAGGAAAATCTCATTCACCTGTAGGGGAGACCGGAAGTTCCCGGGGTAAGTTGTATCCTACAGCAATAACTTTGCAAGGAAAAGATATCGCAATACATATGCAGCGCGTCGTTAAAGTGTCAGGTGACGCGTTTTGCCGGCAGCCATTTCAGTTCACAGAACACTGTATTCGCAAGGAGTTTCAGTTATTCTAGCAACGACGGAAGTGTGGCTATGTCTTTTTCCATAGTTTAAGGGCTATGTGCGTGGAGCTGTCAAAACATCACGTAGAGAGAGAGAGTAAAAAAAAGTTTCGAAATTTGTGAAAAATTTGCCTCTGTAAAAAAACTATAGAGATGTTAGAAGTGCCTGATTTATTACAGAAAGCGATAAACATTTTGTTCAATATTTCCACATGTTGAAAATCAAACCTTTCATTTTCAGTATAAAACTTCAAGTTATTTGAAAACCAGAGCGTTCAGCGCTGCTCTTCCCTATTCAATAACTGCATAGGATCATTCGCTAATATAACAGGCGAATATTTGAGTAATCACGTAAGCATCTAATTTGAATAGCAAACAAATTCACACCTTGACTTTGACGCTAATAAGAAGCATTCCATTCGTTGTAATAAAATTGAATTACCTTAAAAACTTTGTGCTTTGATAGTGTTGAATAGTGAACTTTTTTTTTAATGACCTTGCGTGAGTAATCCCGCTTAGCAATGCTTGATAGAGAAAAGATTACTTACGATATGACTAAAAATTAAATATAATAAAACTTGCTAAGGCTAGATCAATCCGTAACGTAGGTTTCGTCAGGTAGCTTCATAGGTCCTTAATACTTGGTACTTGGTACTTGGTGTAACGGGCTAGTGTCCGCAACTTACATTACATTACAACTTAATTATTAAGGAAAATAGGCGCCTTGACGTCGAGTTGCGGACACTAGCCCGTTACACCACTTGGTGTACTGGCTAGTGCCTGGCGATAACTGCAAAGTGTGACTATGCAGTCAACACTTTATTGCATTGTTTATCCTGTTTATTATTATTACTGCATTGTTTATCCTGCTTTGTGTGTTGTTTTGTTTAAACTTAGTATTTTGTTGAAAGTTAGTAGCAGTAGAGCTCCTTGTGAAAGAGTTCGTCCAGGGTAGTACTGTTTCTGCCGCCAAGCAGTAATGTCAGCAAAAACTGTGTTCCGGTTTTGAAGGGTAAGTAAGGGTGCAGGTGAAATTACAGGCACATGGGACTTGTCAACTTATGTCCTAGGGTGACGGGCGCAGTGGCAGTGCCTCTCAGTCTTTGCGATTTAAAGCTCTGAGTGGCACTGTAACTGTTATGGACAGGCGTGTAACTTACCATCAGGCACACGACTTGTTGGTCCCGTCAATTGATATTATAAAAAAAAAACTGGTCTGCCACGCAAGCGTGAAGTACGCTAAGTAAGTAAGAATGTACATACATTACTGTAACGTAATTAATATTGTATGGTTTTATTAAACATATTTGACTATTTCTCAAACTAATTGTACGTAACGAAAAGCACGTTACGAAATACTACAAAAAATTCTAACTTTATGCGTATTATACATTGGCAAAATATAAGATTGACAATATCTGCCTACTGCCAAATTCATTATTTTTTTTGCATTGCCGAAGTCGGGTGATAACTGTGTGCATTCAACTTTATCCCGTTACGTAACGAAATGCATAAAAATGTTACGAAATACTAGTACAAACATGATCATAATCGAGTTTTTAAATGCCAATGGTTTGTTATAACTTGATATTACAAATGTAATATGCTTATAAAACTTTTAATTTACATGTATTACGAAGGATACATAAATCAAGACTCACCTTATCATGAAAAAGTTCTTAAGTATTAATGTCACGAAAATATTGACCATCACGTTTGGACTGATTGTCATGAAAAATATGACCGAGGACGCCAAAGCAACAGCCAATAAGAATAATTCTAGTGGTGCCCGTGCAAAAATCTAACGGATGAGTTCGGAAAATAATTTAAAGTGGAAATTAAGTGTAACGAAAGAAAAATAAATCGGTATGACTCTTTTTATTTTTGGCATTTTATTTAAATTTTTACTATGAACCCACATATCAAATCACTTTAATACAGAAACTACATTCAATCAAGGTCTATAATACAAAAACATGCACATTATTTGACATGACATTTCGTATTTTATGAAGCGACAAACACTTGAGGTCAGGGGGCGGCAATTTTTGTTTTTGTATGAAGAGTAAAAACATTGTTAAGAAAAAGTTGGAATAATTAATGAAATAATAAGATTACACTTTTCACTCTTCGTAGTATTAAAAACTAATGTTTATCCTTTAAAATTTTCCTATTTATTTTGTACGATTGAATATATTTTGTACGGCATGTTCGCCGATCTGATTTTATATTTTTATTGTTTTCATTTAGATTTTTATTGTGTACTAACACTTAGTTCCATAAGATTTTAATTTTGTTTTACTAACGCTTTTGTATGGACCACCTTCAGAAGTCTGAAATAAAGTTAGTTATTTTATTTATTTATTATAAAAACATAGTATTTTTTCTACTGTTTCGGGGCACACCCCCTCCCTTTTTTGTAAATGTTACAAATATTTTGAGCAATAGTCATTTATGTGTCATTAAAATTGTAAAAACACGTAGGTATTTTTTATATTTATTACCTTAACACAAAACATCACGAGGAAAAGAATTATACACGTATATGTAGTGTAGGTTATATAGATAATTCAGGTACTTTTTCAAACACGGTAGCACCCCCTGGACATCATAAACGCTCCTCAATTGCTTCCGAGACTCCTACCGCCCCCCCAGATCTCTCCAGCCAGAGAACAAAAAGTAACCTTCAGCGTCCACTGGAGGGAGGGAGTGGTAGGTACCACTTTGGGAAACTATTTGCGAATTGTGACTTCGGGATGAGAGTTGGGTCAACGACCGCTACTGACATGCTAAATGGCAAAAACTTATATAAGGGTTCTTCTTTCAATTCCAGTTTTATCACAGCATTGTAAAAAAAAAACTTGTCGTAGCGTACTAGTTCGATTTATCGATCAAACTATTTATTATTGAAGCTATAATAGATATAAAATGTAGGAAGGCGTATATTACTTGTCAATCATATACGTAGACATTAAGTTGTTATAAGCTACGAGAACCAGCAGTTGTATTTAATAGAAACTATTTTATTTCCGCCGTAAAACATAGGAGTTATAAATACTTAAGGCACAGGGCTCAGGGTAGGTCAAGTTTAACATATAACATTGAATTTCAACTCTATGACGCATAAGATATAGAGATGTGCGCCGCGTGCGCTGATCGTCGTTGGCCGGTGGGTGGCGGCGTTTGATACTTTTTCAACTGGCGGGGGGGGCGGCGTGTTTTCAGCATGGCTTATATATAATGAAAACAAGTGACGGGACGAACAAGTCGTGTGCCTGGTTGTAAGCGTTACACCGGTCCATAGCAGTGTCACTCAGAGCTTTAAATTGCAAAGCATTGAGGGTCAATGCCACTACGTTGGTTGACAAGTACCATGTGCCTGTAATTTTACTAGCACCTTAACCCCTCAAAACCGCAACGCAGTAATGGTCATAATGTGAGCGTGCTTGCCGGCAGAAATAGGTAAGTTGGCAGTACTTCCTTGGACGAACTCTTTCCCAAGGAGCTCTAATGCTACTAAATATTTAATACTGTTACTAAAAATAATCAAGTTAAAGAGTGTTCGTATAGAACAATCACACAAAATAAACGCTCTTTATTTAACCCTTTCATGGACAATAACAGCGTTTATCGTAAAATTAAATAAGTATTAGAATATGATAGTACGGGGTACCCCGTTTCGCTGTGTTATGGATCACAAAAAACCAACTACGGGGTTTAAAGTGCTATTTCCTATAGCTTTCTATGTATGTAGTTGTCGCCTACTGCGTTTATACATATAGAGAAATATCAACAACATACAAAAACCAATGATTTTGAAAATTTTATATTGAATCAATATAACCACTACGGCAAGATAAGTACCTACTGTTCATGAAAGGGTTAAATCGTACGTAGACTTTCCGTTGCTCGGAATTGTTGAATTATAATAATGAATGATTAACTTCTTCACCTCACTAGCTCGGAAAGGCTTTCTTTATTGCACGCTAGCGTGGAAAAGGTTTTTGAAATTGGAACCTGACGATGGACATAATGACACGTTCAACTACGTGATTTGTCGTACATTATATTATATGAAATTTAGATCCCTTAATATATTTTATTTTTATTATGGTTGATATTAAATTGACCACAATAACTAATTTTGTTTATTAAATTATTTTAATTCGTCGAAGAACTAAAATAATTTCAATAATCACACAAAATTATAAGTACAGGTACAGTCAGGAGCACATCAAGCTTAACACTTTTAACTATCCTGCTACGAAAGATAAACGTGTTAGAAAGAAAGTGCACTTCCAACCGATTGGT